TGTGTGTGTGTGTGTGTGTGTGTGTGTGTGTGTGTGTGTGTGTGTGTATGTGTGTGTGTGTGTGTGTGTGTGTGTGTGGAAGGGGAAGGAGTATCCACTTGTGCTTTAAAATGACCCTTGTGTGTGGGTGTCTAGGCCAAGGTGAGCGAGCTGGAGGATGAGATGATGCAGCTGCAGCCGGACATAGTAGATGTGCAGCGGCAGCCGTGGAGGAGTGGAGAGACTCTGGACACGCTGTAAGTCTCTACCAAACTCAACTGTGAAAAAACAAACAAAAAAAACGAGTGATGATCTTGAACCCTCCTCTCTTCTTCCCCTTTTCATTTCTCAGTGAAGGAAAAGCCATGGAGCTGTTCCGCAAACTCAGAGAGAAACCCAGAGGTTTGGATACCACGCGTCCGTTCACCGCTGGCATAACACTCAGCGCTACGGTGGTTCCATGTAGAAAATAAACCTGCCTCTTCTTTTCCTTCCCCTGCTCAGACCAGAGGCTCCCAGGGGACAGTCAGGAGGTGGTGCGCCTGGTGCTTCAGGCCGTGCAGTTCTACGAGAGGAAGCTCCGAGACTTCTACACACACCTCAGGTACTCCAAAGACAATCGCCACATTTTTATTCAACTCTTGGAAAACAGTTCCCAGATCACATAGAGCAGGGATTGTTTCGCCAGAAATTCTTCTGCAATGTGACTATAATGTGATGGCGTAAGTGTAAGATGTCACATTTGCAACTCTTAATTCAGGGCATGCCAGTATTTGTAAAGAAGTGTAAAATATCACAACCTTTTATCAATGAAAGATTTCCTTTTAATTGAAGCCATCCGGTCTGCGGTTCCTGATGTGTAAAGTCATTTATAGATGGTCTAGGCCCTGGATGCTATACAGAGCCCGTCTAGAATAACCCGCGGGATGGGACACTTCCTGTTCACATCTTCTTTTCTCCTTGTGCCTCTGTATTCGCACCGCCGTTGTGGTTCGTGATGCAGTAAGACCGCAGTTTGCCGTCAGCGCGTGATGGAGCTGCTGCCGAAGGTGGAGGGCGTGGTCCAGAGCATGGCTGAGAGCGAACAGGTCCTGATGAGTCTGCAGGAGAAACGACAGAGGGAGCTTTGGAACCTGCTCAAAGTGGCCTGTGTGAGGATGCACTGCTCTCACACACACACACACACACACACACACACACACACACACACACTCTCTCTCTCTCTCCCACTCTTACTCTCCCTTTAGGGATGCCTAAATTGCATATTAATGAATAAAATATATATATATATATATATATATATATTGCATATCATTTTTTGGGGGATGTATTTTTGGACTCGATACCAATAATATTCATAAAACAGCAGCAGGTGTGTAAAAGTTTTTTATTTCTTATATCAAAATCTAGTCAGCTTTTCTTCCTGTAAAGAAAAGATTATTATTGTAAGATTATGACGTGTGCTTCCGGAAGCTAGTACCAACCAATTTATAAAATAAAAATAACATCCATCCATCGATCAATCTGCAACGTTTAGCGACAAGGGAGGTGTGTGGGACGGTAGCTCCGTATGGCGCAACATCCTAGGCCCGCCCACTTTTTAACGGTCCAATCAAATGCAACGGATTTTATTTTAATCCGTCTTGTAACTGTGCACCCATTAAATGTTCCGTTTCACTGTGGGGTACGTTCAGTACAGCTGCAGAAGGCTCTCCAACTTCCGTGTGTATCACTGGGGCTTTAATTCTCGAGCACCGCTTTTTTCAGTGTGTTTTCTGCTACGACACTCATCAAGGACGCGCTTGTCTTGTGCAGAGTAAAGTTCGCAGCCCGGTGAGTGGGAGCCCGGATGGATTACCAACCCCCTCTTCAGTACCGCCTCTGCTGACCCCCAGACACAGCTTGCAGCAGTTGTGAGTGCACTTACACACACACACAGACAGACATATGTACATACACACACAGAGATACATACACACATACCACACACTGGGGTTTAAAGGATGTTTTCCCTTCAGAGTCTGAAACTCATCTTTAGAAAATATTGTTCAGGACTACAGAAAGTAGTCTCTCATCCACACAAATATCGGCAAAGCTGCACACAGAGACACAACTCTGAATGTTTTTAATTCACTACATCTCTGTGTTTTTCACACACCTGCCGGCTACTCAAGTCAAAATTGTGGACGTTTTCTTTGTATGCTGACGATCTTCCTACAAACGCACTACTTTACTTCAGCTTCCACACACCGCTCTTCATCATCCCCGGAACCTTTTGGGGAATACAAAGGCACAATTACATTTCCTGTGCATACGCAGATGAACTATCATCAACGTTGTGAGTCTGCATGAATCACTTTGGGTGTGTCCGCAGTGACGAGTCTCTTGTGGAGGAGAGCAGGACGTTTGAGGGGCGACTCCAGAGTCTGCTGCACGACACCATCCAGGATTCCCAGAGCAGTATGGAGGTACTAACACTTGTTGTGACGCCAAGCCGCTGTGTTGTGTAGTTTATGATCATTTACAAAATGTTTTTATGTGTAATGACTACTTAAAAGCACCACGTTTTGCTTTTGTCCCAGGTGTTGAGGGAGTGGACGTGGCTGCATGGCGGTCAGAACTTCTCCAGCGACCTCTCCTGAGTTTGGGGTTCATTCTTTGCGTACATGTGGTACTCTACTGCCCCTGTGTGGATGGGATGCCAAACTACCGGAGCAAGTGGTAGTAGCTGTTTTGGAAAAAATGTGAATGGAGTAATAGCTGCTGGCATATATTTGCTTAATGAGATTAAGGAGTGGGTAAGCCTACTCAGGACTCCCGTCTGAACTTGTAAAAGAGGAAAATGAACAAGCTGTTAGCGCAGTGAAGCAGATTTATCTTTGATTAGCATCAGGGGGATTTATTAAAACTGGATCTTATATTTTTACCCATTTGTCATTTTAACAAAACATGAAATATGTTTTGGGGTAAAGTTGCACTTCATAATGCACAGATCAGCCACTTCATTGGCATCACGGATGGAACCAGATGACTCAAACCATTTAGAAAAATCCCAACCACATCTCACCGACATACATTCCTGCAGTGTTACTGTACGCTCCTCAAAACAGCTGGAGCACACAGAGAGCTACTTTAATCCTCAAATCATGAATGTACATTTACTTCTTTTTTTGTGTGTTATGTGCCTAAATGTAAATATGTATCCAGTTTCTCACTGGACCTATATTTTAATTGCAAATGTTATTTTAGTAAGACAATCGTTGAACGGAATGGGTGATGTTTGTAACTGTAAAATGACTATCATAAGTCTATGCTGGATGACTGTCTGAATGTGATCTTTTTTTCATTTCTTTTCTTTCTTTACATCTAATAATTATATAGCGGGTGGACACAGTAACAGCAACACCTGTACAATATTGTGCAGTCCTAGTATCCCTGCAATAATTTGAAGTGCTCATGTTGAACTAATTTAAATTAAAAAAAGATGAGTTATGGTCTAAACTATGGGTTTAAAATATTTCTTTTGTTTTGCTGAAATGATGCAAATGCAAAAGTAGAGTTAAATTTATGGATTGTGGCAAAACTGTAAAAACTGCTATAAAACTAACTAAATTAACATTTTAATTGGCTTTACCCCCATTACATTTAAATCAGTGTATTATAGATATAATTCCAACCACTGGTAGTCTGTGTGTAGATCCTACAAAGTGATGAGAGATGTTACATAATGTCAAGTATCTGTGAACACACTGTATGCTGAAGTGTGAAAAGTGATTTGTTTTATCTTGAATACAGTATTTGACTTTATTGCAAGTGATGTTTTCTTTGCTTCATTTAAATTTCCAACTAACCTTTTTATTTTAAAAGCATACACACCTCCAAATGATAGTGTTTAACGTTCTTTATTCATTAATTCAATAAAATCGGTTTGAGGTCCTAATTGTTGACTAACTCCTACACAAAGCACAGTACAGAAAGTGAAATGTAGTGGTAAAGGTCGAAGAGGTACAGGACACAAGACAGGACGAAGAGGGTTCGCAGAGTCTCAAATTATTGTCGGCAATTTCGCCAAAAAAGGACCTGAAAAACCGACATTTAGGCAGCTGAAGGTCCACAGATTAAAACCGCGTTACAGAGGTCAAAGGGTGGAATCAGCTGACTGAATCCGAGAAGGATCCGCCGCTCTTCGTCTTTTCTGCTCGATCCTCCCCAACTTTTATTGCATCTGTTATGCGACAATGAAAAGTCGAAAAACAAACCCATGTCTCTAGCCTCGAAAGCATGCAACAAAACCACAATATACCGAAAACAAGTGTCCTCTAATAATCATATACATGTCTAAAACCCAAAGTATATCTGAACAAAAACATTCTGACCACACAGTCAAAAACTACAAGGTGCTTCAAATTTTACTTCGGAAAGAAAACATGTTTCAGACACAAATGCTCTTTTTAAAAGCACTTTGTCGTAAGCAGCACACGAGTCTGTTCTTCTGTTGTGTTCTGGTGAGATGTGCTCAAAGGTTGCCTGTGAGAGCTTTTTTTAATGATGTCAAATTGAAAAGTAACCATCACAAAAATATTGCTTGATTCTTTTAAAACTACAGTACCGGAGGTTTTGGAGACTGGCTTGGGGTTTTAGGGATAAGGCCAACGAATGTGTGTGTGTGCGTGTGCGCGTGCGTGTGCGCGTGTGTAAGACAATGTGTTGACGTGGTCGCTGAGTGGACCTCTGCTGCGTTTTCACATTTGGGCTCTTTCTTTCTTGTCCCGTGTTGCTTTCCTTCTCCCTTGGTGTCCGTCCTCCCGCTGACCTCTCTACGCCTCCAGCTCGAAACCCAAGCCGACTTTGTGCCCGCCGCCGTTCACGTTCTTCCCGTCGAGCAGACCCGAGAGGGTGAGCTTCACTCCTGCGGGGAGGACAGTCAGATTTATGTACCAGGTAGCAATGCCTTTGCTCTTTGTATTGTTACAAAAAGAGTTAAAAAAAACAAATAAATCCAGCAATCAGCTAACCTGGTCTGAGGGTCTGTGTGTATCCAACTCCAACGAGACAAGCGTTGTTGACTTTGGTCTGTGAGGAGAAACGAGACGTCATGGACGGTGGAAAAATCATGAGCGCAGCATTAGGAGAGTGGATGGATGGGATGCTGGATGCGGTTACATAATTTATTACATATGGATACAGCAGCCTCGGGTTAACAACTGCTGCCAATTAGAAATTGTCAACATGCTAAACTAAGAGGGTAATCAGTGAACAAATATACTCGCTAAACTTCAGCATGTTAACGTTGTCAGGGTGTGCGTTTAGCTCAAAGCAAGTCTCCGATTTCCAGGACGTTTCTCCTGTTTTCTCACAAATTTGAATATGTACAAATCTTAATGCACGACAGTCATTGAGTCGAAGCTGTCCGTGATGTTTCGGAGTGATTGCTTACAGACAGGGAGGCGTCCTTATCCAGCTGGTATTTGGCTCCGATTCCAAAGCGTGTGTTGTTGCTGCCAGCCGTCCAGGCCAGGTGGACCGCTGTCTCCAAGTTGCTGTTCACCTTTTGGTAAATGGAGCCACCGAACTCCGTGCCATCATTTCTGAAACACAAAATGGTGGAGATTAGAACTTGACGTCTCCTCCTGGGGGAAGCGCTTCCACTCTCTGTGTGCTGTCCGTATCCGATGTGTCACTTCCATTTCCTGCCTCTCTTTGCTGGGACGCAGTGACTCACACGTTGGTGTGAAGCTGGAAGTCACCGGCCTTGTATCCGAGGGCGAAGTTGTTCTGGGTCAATTTGGATTTGGCCGTGTCGAAAGCCAACTGGTAGCCCGCCAGCCAGCCCTCGTAGCCCAGCACGGCGGCTGCGTGGACGGTGGGACTGGCCATGTCGAAGTCCAGGTCACAGCCCGCATTTACAAAGTCCCGTTTGTAGCCGGACTTCAGCTTGGCACTCTTCTTGCTACAGAAGGAATATAGAAAAAGGGGGGCATTCATTTCGATAGTGGTAATGTATAAACATCTGTATTTATTGACTACATTTAATTAAGACATTGAAAACCACTGAGGATGAACAGGACTGTTCTTACCCGGTGTTGGGCACAAATGATGCGTCTAGACCGAGCTTCAGGCCTTTAGCCAGCTACAGGCGGATAAACAGACAAAGAAGCCGTGAGCTGACAATATTCTCTCTGAAAGTGAATGTTTGTATGTTTTGGACATTGTGACGTTGGACTCCACCTGGTCCTCCATGGTGATCTCCGTGGTGAGAGTGTTGTCTGTGTTCCATTTCTGGTTGAAGTTGAGGCCCAGATCATTCACTTTGTACTTGGTCTCCAGGTGACCTCCCGACTTCCCCGTGTCGGTGTTGTTGGAGCCGGAGGTGGCAAACTCCTGCAGGGACAGAGGGGGGGGGGGATGAAGGTGGGAAGGTAAGCAGAAAGGCACGTTAGAGCTCAACTACAGCAACTATAAGCAGGAAAGGGAGAGAAAACATACAGGGAGAAAAGAATAAGAAAAACGAAAGGTGAGGGAAACGAGCCTTGCCTCTGACACCCCTCTCAGATTTGCATGGCTGGTTATTTAAAAGACAAACTACACTTTAAGACGGATAAACGAGTTGGGGACTGTGAGGGAGAGGTTGGTTGTGAGTGTCGCTGCTGCGGCAGTCGGGGTAAAAGGTGTCGCTTGGACGAGCTACCGCTGCAGAGAAAAGCCATCGTGCGCACAACACATAACCAGTATCACTGGACGGTGCACCTGTGTCCCTATCGGTTCTTATGCACACACACACACACACACACTCTCTCTCTTACCATCTGACAGGAAGATCCAAAGAAGAAGCAGGAAAAGAAAAGAGAAAAGAGAGAAAGTTAAGGAGAAGCACACAGAGTTTACTTGCTGACTGGGAAAATGGAAAGCAGAAACCTGACACAAAGGGAAGACATTTACAGCGGTGTTTTTTTTTTCCATTTGAGTTTTGCGGGATGTGGGAAACTCTGTCTGCGAATGCTCATTATGGTTTTACCATGGCCTTACCGGTTTGTAGCAACACAGACACACAACATGTATGGAGCAAACTAAGCACTCTGGAATGCGGCACTCCCCCCCCCCCATCATGATACAACATGTTTGAGGCAAAAGTAGTAAACTCTGGCAGACAGTGTTAATCTGCTGATTGTGTAGGTTACTCTGAGTACACATCAGGCAGCAAACACACTGTGACATGAAGGGCTGCGAAGGCCGTGGCTCAGCGATTTTGGTAATTCGCCGAGTGAGAGGCCATGAACATGGAACTTACAGACATCAGGCTAACAGAGACAAACAGCCGTACTCACAACACCACTCTGGGTCTTGGTCTTAACGTCCAGCTTGAGAACTCCATATCCTGGGAAAGAACAGGAAATTATGGATATCAACAAAAAAAAGGGTGGAAAAATAACATCCTTGTGCTGCACAGCATGGCTCTTAAACAGCTGCAGCAGGAATAAACATTCAAAGTGACACAGGGCAAACAAGTGTGCTCTCTAATGTTACAACGAAATAGCGACATCATATCATACAAAGTATATTTATGTGAGAACTTTGTTGCGTTACCGAAGCCCTTGTTGAAGATGTCTTTGGCAGATTTCCCCAAGTCTGTGTATGCAGGAGGGACGGCCATTGTGCCTGAGGGAACAGACGTGCTGGTTATGAAACAAAGCACACACTTCACAGCAATAAAAAAACAGAGCATAATTAAAGGGATACTCCAGCAATTGATTCTCTCCCCCCCCCTCCCCCCTCTTCCATGTAAACCCTATTGATTGCCTGGCAGCGGTCCATTAGCAAGCAGCGGATGTTGCTGAACTAATGCGACTGATTCTCTAAGAGGAAGAGACTCCAAATGTACAGGAGCAAAAGATCACACAGCCATCCAACAGAGACATTTCTTTCTGCTGTCTTCTAACATGACCAACATTCCCATTATGCTATACTTGTGTGGGAAAAGAGAAATATATGTTGTGTATGAAATATGCAAGCCAGTGCGGCAGAGCTAACCTAAGCAGCAGCAGCTTTGGTTAGTCAGCAACTACGAGTCCTGCACACCACTGCACTGCACCGGCTTCAGACAGTCATCAGGGTCCCCTGGCTCAGAGTGTGTGTGTGTGTGTGTGTGTGTGTGTGTGAAGAAGAAGACATTTTTGACGAGGTGACTGTGGAAACATTTAGAATCACTTATTACCCAATGCTGGTTTAATGTTTTACTAGTGACTCGCCTTCCTGATCGCTCCCTCAGCTAGTAATCTCACCAATCAAATCTCCTTTTTTTATTTTTTTTGCAGAGGGTGCAGACTTTGCTTCGGGTAATGCAACCTCAATTTTTCTCAGAAAATCTAAACATCTGTCAACACTGGAATTGACAAAGATGAAAAAATGTCACACGCATTGCAAATCTTGGCCCTCACGAGATTAATGTCACTGCGGCCAAAACTCAATCCAGGGGCCCTGATGATTTGTCGTCTGTCCCTCTCTACACCCCCCCCCCCCCCCTCCACCACTCACCATGTCCCTTGGGTGTGCGGTGCTGACATGTCCCACAGTGGCCTTTGTTCACCACCTGTTTGCCTTTTCCTGCCTCGTCCTGCTGGACCTCGCACCCCGCTCCTTTCTCTGCCATGTCTCCTCAGAGGACGGGAAATGCAAGGAGGGACAATAGGGAAACTTTTGGCAAGAAGTCCAGCGCTGTGCACAATATGTGGGCTTGTCTGAGAATTGGCTGTGAATGTTAGCATGTTCCTTCAGCATGCAGTCAGAGCTAGTCTCCTTTTAAATGCAGAGAACTGGCCAAGCATTGTATCACATTGTTCCGTATATGTGCACAGGCCAGCAGGTGATGAACGCGTGTACTCTGTGCGCCGCATTTGAACGTGATAAAGGCTGAGATGCGGCTTTTTTTTTTTTAATCAGACAAGGAATACTGATTACTGGCGTTAAGGGTAGAAAACGATGATGTGGTGAAATATAGAAGCCTCTCTGCCCCTTACAAGGACACAGAAAAAAGGAAAAAGGCAGCACATCACACCACCTTAACGTGTCCATACGTATTGCATCAACAGCACGTCAACGCAGCTGTGATGCAACTAGACGTCAAAGCGACATGTCACATGTCACCTATAGGCAAGACTAGCAGAGTCCTATAAACATTGACATATCATTACCTTTCATGATGATATGGTGAACTTAGCAAATATTTGCTTATTTACACATCCACCAGTCTTGTTTCTGGTCACCTGGTGAATGTCTCACTCTCTTTTAGCTCTATTTTGGTCTCTACCAACGAGAAATATCTGTCTCCTGCACAGCTGTCATCAGATTCTGATTTAGGGGCTGCTAAACTATTGTAGCATCATCTTTTTTTTTTTCAACTAAGCCCCACCCACTTTAAAGCAGCCATTAAAAAACAAGAATCAGAAAGACTACAAATGCAGAAATGTCTGGGGTGAAATAACCACATTTGATCAAGCTGTGTGGTTTTGTAGGACCCCGTCTCTCATAGTAAGGCACTGGTTGAGAAAAATGTTTTTTTTAGGGCCTTTAAGATCTCCATCTTTCTCGCATCACAAACACCCGACCATGAATCCCACAGTGTGCGTCATGCAGTCCTGTCTGTCTCTGCTGCCTCAGTGTCGCTCTTGTTCATTCCTCAAACGCAAAGCAAAAGGTTGCCAGCTGACCCGCATTTCGCTGACCAGGTGCAAGTCTTTGTCACTTCACCCAAGATACTCTCCTTCTCCTGCTCCACTGCACCTCGCACACCATGTTTGACCCTTTCCCTCCTGGCCTTCATCTCTCAGTCTCAAACACGTAGCTCTAAATTTAGCCCAGGTGAACCCAACACTACAGCACATGTGACTCGGGCTGGGGGTGGCCAATCTACGGCGCGTGGGGCAAGCTGCGGCCCGCTGCCCGATTTTAAAATAAACTGGAATATGGATTGAACATACTTCTAATAAATTGCACTGCATGAACGCTGCACATCCTACTTTAAACACTAAACGTCAATTGAATTTAGTGACATTTAACCTCCTAGTAAAGAAACCAATACTTTCCCATTCATGCCTGTTCTGTAAATTACATTTTAATATTAGATTTACAGATTTACACATAACATCATAATATTTTAAGTGGACAGTTAAACCATACACTGTGAGTATAAAAGTATTTAATTAAGTTAAATTTAATTTGAGAGCAGCCTGTGACTCCTTACATTTTTCTGTATGCGGCCCACAATCAAAACAGTGTGGCCACCCCAGGAGCCTCAGCATGTGTCCTCCTACAGGTTCAACCTTTCCCGTAGGAAAACAGATTCAGTGTACCTCCACGCTGTATTTATACACAAACACACTGCTGCCACTGGTCTTTACACTTTTATGGGCAGCAACCAGCCGACGACCTTGACTGAGCTCAAAGGTCAAAATGACGCCCGTGATCAACAGTGGTGAGTGAGAGGAAACAGCCTGCACACAAACAACAACATGGGGACTGTGTGGTTGTCAACGATCAAACACAGACAGATAATATCTTTAAAACAGTACAAAGTCTGCTATTTTTCCATGTTTGTCTCATATCTATCTATCTATCTATCTATCTATATATCTATCTATATCTATATCTATATATATATATATATATATATATGCCGATACAAATTGGTGAAAAGCCACCAACGTCTTGTATTCGTGAAGGTGAAGCCAGTGTGTTGGATGTTTTTATTTAATTGAATCTAATTTAATAGTCTGAACAAAAAAATGGTATTGGTTATTCAACGCCGTCACAATTTCCACGTTTAGCAATCATTTTGACATTTATTCAACTGTTGAAGAACAGCGAGAATTTCTCGGTTCAATATGGGGAAAACCCTGACAATCTCCCTCTTGCTAATGAGCACGCTGAACTAAAAAAGAACCTATAGACTCGTGTAATCAGGCAGTTACCCAACACTGGCCGAACCCTCAGATAAGGTGAAACCAAGGCAAGTGTATAACGGGAGGAATGTGTGGCTGTGAGATAAGGTCGAGTGCATTCAAGTTACACTAAGACAATTTATAGCTTAAGGAGCATGAGGTAGGGATGGATTTGTACCGGATCCGTTCCGGCATCCAGTGCACTTCAATACGTGTATTGACAACAGTTCAGACTGGTGTGAGTGATAATTTTTGGGCTCATTGGGCTCACTGCAGCAGCCTAGATATAGAGTGTCTTTAAGCTCTGAGGCGGCGAGTAACGCTCTTAAAGAAAGCAGGTACATTACCTAATAAATACTCAGCGTGGGTCACTACACCGCTCTCTGTCTACTATGTAATTGCATAGGGAGGAGCGTGCGTAAAGATGGCCACAGTGGCCAAAGATAACGGTCCTTGTTAAGAAGCTGTTCATAGACTTTGTGCCCTCTAGACATCCAGATAAGACGGTGAAGTAAGATGTGTGGCGTCACGTCGCCCTGTAACATAGTGGACGAGTATTCTTATCGTCCAGATGCGTCCACTTCTGGTTTCCATAGTCCGTGCGTCCGCGAGACTTCTGGTGTCCGCGGGAGTTGTTTCCATCACTGCAACAGCTAACTTTTTTTCAAACACAGAATCTAATCTCAGCTGTTTCTGGACGTTTCGCCGCAGTGGTTAAATATGCTATTTTATATGCTACTTTAAAACCTACAGAGAACAGACAGTGGGACCCCCACATGCCACCTCTCCGCATCACATTTACGCAAAAACATTTAGCAAAACTCCCTTTTGAGGGTTTTTAGACTGTTTACAGTTTACACTAATAGCACACATACAGGCCTGAACTGGTTTAAAACCTGGCATATCTACCGGCTGCTGCTGCACGCACACCCTTATATGTGTGACGGATTTCTCACTGACAGTCAAAAGCGACAGTGGTCAACAGCTAAATGAACCGACATATAGAGAATACGTTTTTTGAAAATAACAATTTGCTGAAGTCAGTTGCTTCTTACCTTTATTTGTGGGGCGGAGCGTGCAGAGTCTGACGGCGCTGTTCGGAGCAGCGGGGCACAGTGAAGGAGAAAGCCGAGACTACACACACTGGGCAGGCGCGAGTCAGACCTCCGGCCGAGGGCGGGGCCGTTGTGCAGTTGACATTGAGCAAAAAAAACAACTAATAATATGGTATACTTAGTTTTAAACTGTTCGTAAATATTTACACGTGTACACCGGGTTCACATTGTGACACAATATTGAGAAGATCTATTTATGAATCTATCTATTTTATAATATATGATTTTATATTATATTATAGCAACAGTGGGAGTTTGTTTTGGTGTAATAACACTCTTACACCACTCGGGGGCAATGACCTCTAGCTAATATCACTAATGATTGTAGTGTGTGTACCCTGATGAAAGCATGTCAGGCAGACCTTCATTTCAGAATGAGTACAGTGTAGATTACCTCCTCAACAAGCTCAAGCAATCAAATGGTTATATTTTGAATTCAGGGTAGGACAAGTTAAGATTAAATAGTTGTGGTTTAGGTGTGGCAGTCGCACTTAATTTAATGTGTCTTTGGTAAACCTGCAAGGCAACACTCGGGGAACACAAGAACCGAATATACAGTCACCAGCAGGATTACAATAGAAATACACCTGCTAGAACTTTAAACTTCAGGTCAGTGCCGGTGTGTCACCCCATTAAATCATGACTTGTGAGTTACGTATTAATAATAATTTGATATGCATTATTATCATTATTATTGAGGCTAGTCACCAAAATAATGCGACACAATGATTATGAATTATTGGGCAGTAACACAGGCTGCTCTTAGTCTTCCGCTGTGTCGGTGTCTAATTTATGTTTAACCCCCAACTGTTTATTAGTTAAATGATTTGTACAAATGTGGATGAAATGTTGATAGAAGTGGGTTACTATTTTGTCGGGGGGGGGGGGGGCGTCTCTCATCTATTACGTCTAGTTCTGTGCGCAGGTGCCCCGTTGCCATGGGGAGGAATACTGAAACAAGCGTTGGTACGGTTTATACCTCAGCGTCATCAGTCTGCGTGAGGAAAATCCTCAACTGATAAACACGAAGATATATTACAGGTACGCTAATTGACTTGATAACGTTATGCAGCTTAACCGGTTGCAGTCATTTTGTCAGAAAAAAACAATGTATTTAATCTACTTAAAGGCTCGTCTGAGGAGGAATAGTGACGTTAGCTAACTTCACAACAAACCAGCTAGCGTTAGGCGACGTTAGCTGCACAGGGTGTTTCATAGCTATAACCTAAAGAATGATTCATTCATTCATTTCACACACCACACATACCAACTATCAAAACATAAACTTAAAGCAACTACACTTCTGCATAGTCGTATTCATTCAGTCTGTGATTTGGTTTATGAGCCTGAAGAAGAAAAACAATGCAGTTATTACTATATCAATTCTTAGTTTATTTTACTATCTTGCTTTTCAAACACTAACCAATCATGAGCCTCATCACTGTGAAAAATTAATGTTTGACTGGTGCTTAGCTGCTACTGTAGGTTTCAACAGTTGTTGTCCCCCCCCCTCTACAATTTACGCTGCAGCTTCAGATGTGTGAGGGACCTTCAACAATATCTGGGCCAATCCCCCCGGATCCTTCACTGGTTCCCCAGTACTACAGACGACCTGCTTCAGGTTAGATGCAGTCACGGGGCTCAGCTATATTATTACCCCCCCCCCCCCCCCAAATTAAAACACTCTGTGTTGTTTTCCAGTGATTTGGGGCCGTAAACTTAATATCTATAAGCTTAAATCTAATGCCTCCCTTTTTTTAGGTATCACATCACCTGACCTTGTTTAGCTTTTTTTTTCTTTCTCCAGCACGTGGCCGTTTAGAGGGAAACCCCGATGCAACTTTGGCCCTGCTCTCGGGGCCCCTCGCTCCAGATCCTGTGTTGTACCCCGGCTGTTACAGCGCTCGTACCCCAGCGCACCCTCCCCGTATCGGCCCTAATGCCTCTCATATTCTGGAACGAGGACGGAGAGGGGTAGTGGGGGAGCTGCTCAAACTGGACGGAGTCGCCATCACCCCTGTTCCCAAACAGAGTAAGGGCAATCGATTTCTCAGGTCCGTAAATTAAAAGAGCGGTTCTGTTTTGTCTTAAAGGACGGTCTCAGTGTCACATGTCATTTCTACCTTTTACATATTTAAGTTGTTATAATAAGTCAAAGTTTGATAGAGCCCACAAACCCCAAACAAACATTTTTAAAGTGAGCCAACTTTTGCAATACTTGACCCTCAGAGCAGCGGGTACACGACTTTGGTAAAGAGAATGTGCGTCGGCTCAGGGAGATTCAGAGACGCTGCAAGGAGCAGGAGGCTGAGAGAGTACACGCTCGTCCGGTTCCAGTGAAAGCTCTTTGGACCTCCTCCAAATACCAGAACGTCCCATCCAGGGTGATGGTCCAGCTACAGGCAAGGAAGCAAGTCTGCAAACGATGCAAGTCCTTGAGTTATCTGTATTTCCTCTGGCTCACTTTTAATCCAGTCTCCTTCGTGCAGGTTTCCAGTCCGACTACTAAACCACAGTGTCAAAGCTTCCTGAAGGCCCACTCTACTGCGCCGCCAGCGTCGCACTCCAAAACCTCTCCTGTACCTTTGCGGCGCCCGGCTTCCTGCAGCTCCATACAGGACCAGAACTTGCAAGTGAGAATTGCCAATAAATATTGATGTCAATGATGACAATAATAGGTATAATATATTGATTTTGACGAGCAGAGCATGGCGATGACGTGGAATGCATTTTTTTTTATCTGCAACATTTCCTTTTTTGTTTTGATTCCATACGTTGTTGTGTGTGGATACAGTTACAGGTTCAAGGCCAGTCGATAGACTTCGTAAAACACAATTCCCGGTCTGCAGGAAAAACTGTGCTGCGTCGGCCCCAGTCACTGACAAACCTTCAAGAGAAGCCCGTCCCCAGTGCAGTCAAGGGACAGGTGCCTCAGTAGTGAGTATTCTTATGTCGTATCTTACCTACTTACCTGCACTCACAATCAGTTTGGTGAAAACACAGGTGCACTTTTACTGCTGTTGCTCATTTCTGTTCTCCCTCTCACTGATTATTAAACACACACTCAGTCTTGAGGAAAGGAAGGAGCAGTGGCATAAAGAGGCGGAGGAGAGGAGGAGGAACGCACCTGATCCTACAGTCCCAGCGGGTCACACCCTGATGCGCGAGAGTGAGAGACAGGAAACTCTGAAGTCCCTCAAAGAGAGTACGTCTCTGTGGCTCTTCATCTACGTTAGCGTACTACACGCATAGTGAATATTTGCTTCTCTAATTCTGCTGGTTTTTTTTTTGTTTCCTCAGCCCATCGCTCCCTCGTGGCGGAGCTGCTGTCCCTCCCTCTCAAAGCTGACAGTCTGAGCGTTCGAGCACGTCGGGCTCATCTCGATTCTAGGCTGTCTGAAATCGAGGAGGCTGTTAAAATATTCTCCAGGGACAGAGTTTATGTAAAAATAGATTCCTAACACATGAGGAGGAGGAGGAGGAGGAGGAGGAGGAGGAGGAGGAGGAGGAGAAGGAGGAGGAGAGAGGGAAGAGGAGGATACGGTCCTGTAAATCCACGGCTTTATTGAGATTCATTTTTATTTTGTAGTTGCATTATGTGACATAACGCTGAACCTTGTAAAACAGATGATTGTTTAATCATCACTATCATGCATTAAATTATAATCTGCTAATCAGTCACTTTAAGAACAGTAAACATGCTACTGAACAATGCTACTGCAAAACTGTCATTCTTGTCTGTACATTTACTGTTATTAACTGCTAGTTAATGAGAGAGTAGTTGATGAGATGTGTTTGGTTTAGTCTTTGTGTAAAACTGGCTGGCGCTTTGTAATAATGAATATTTTTGTGAAGTCATTGTATATGAATATTTTTACATTTTTGCGTATTAAAACGTACAGTGCAGTACAGTGTGTACACAGTTAGTATGCTGCAGAGTGCTGAATAAGTCATTTTTGAATTGCTACGTCACAACTCTTGAGTTTGTATCACGTGTGACGCACGCCCCACCCCCCCTCTCAACGTCTTTCGGTCATTGTTCAGACTGTGCTAAAGCTAACGTGCTAGGTGGAGGCTGGCAGAGATTACACAGGTTTACACGCGTGCATATTAAGTCGTTCAAGTGTACAGCGGACATTTGAGAGCTCGCCAAAGACACAATGAGCAAGAGGAAAGCGCCTCAGGAATCCCCGAATGAGGGAATAACTGACTTTCTGGTCGGTAAGTGCAGTAGAGAGACGGCTGCGTTCAGCTAACTGTAGCTAGCGGGACGCTCGGGTTCTGTTTATAAGCAAAATATCCAAATAACTTTGCATAAGTAACGCCAGTGTATATTTGTGAAACAAATATGCTAAATGATAATGTTTCTGACTCGCGTTTGCTTGAAACTACCCGAGTTTCTCTGCTCTGATAAGTCAGAGAGTTGACATTTAAATGCCTTCAGCTGAGTTGGCTGTTTTTTTTAAATAGTGGCTAAATAAACTGCAGGAGTACGAGGTGAATATGAAGCCATGAGATGTGTTACTTCTGTTTCCAGAGCTGGCCAATTATGAGAAGAACGTCAACAGGGCAATACACAAGTCCAACGCGTACAGGTGAGCAGGGAGGTGTGCTTTGTTTAAGGAGGGTTGAAACAGCCAGATGTGATATGTAATGTAATGTCCAAACAATACGTCAATGTCACAGTCACTTTAGATTGAAACGTGTTTTTAATACATTGTATTGATCGCATTGTTTTACACTGGCATCTGGGTGTATAATACACTTGATGCCATGTGGAGAAGAATGTTGATTAGAAACTGTGATAGAAGTTGTTCAGAGAGGTTCTGTTGAGGCATCCGACAGAAGCTTTCTATCACCATATTATTTTACAAACTTTGTCTTTGACATTCATTTCAACCATTTTTTTTGTGCCTATTCTCTGTCTAGGAAAGCAGCATCTACCATCTCCAAGTACCCAAACAAAATCAAAAATGGCGACGAGGCCAAGAAACTGGTATGTGCAATAAAGGTCTTCAGTTGATGTCTTTATTTAAAGAAAGGCATCACACAACATGTGGAAGTTTGACCTGGTGACAAATGGTCCAGATGCTGTTTGTCAGCAGCACTACTCTGCACAACCAACATAACGGCAGTAAATCCCACTATTCAGCACCCTCATGCTTGTCTCACCTGTCAACAGGAAGGTGTTGGAGCTAAAATAGCAGAAAAGATTGATGAGTTCCTACAAACTGGCACGCTACGGAAACTGGAAAAGGTGAGTGTTGGGACGTGGTAATACATGATGCATGCCATACATGTTTAATAGTAGCTCCATTTAAATGTATTACACAACACTGATGTGCTACTTTTACGTTTTCATCTAGATCCGTACCGATGACACCAGCTCTTCTATCAATTTCCTCACCAGAGTCACTGGAATCGGGTATGTCATTCAGTAACCAATCACTAGCCACCAACGCATACACCTGAATCTAACGTAGTTCTAAGACGACAGGTGATTGGCTGCCATGACAGACAACTTTGTGCTGGTGTTTTTAAGAGCGGAGCGAGTTAAAAGATGTCGGGCGACATTGAGAAGACATGCCTTATATGTCACATGACTATACTCGCAGGTGTGGACTCCGGCATGAGGGATGCAGGAAAGCTTAAAGATGTTTGTGTAGTTTTACTGTATGTTATGAGCTTCGTGTAACAGACTGCTTCTCTTGACTTCAGCCCCGCGGCCGCCAGGAAGTTTTTTGAAGACGGGGTGAAGACATTAGAAGGTTTGTTAAGTTTGTTTATTCTAATTGGTTTAAAAGAATCTTTACTCTTTATTTCGTGGTCCTTGGCACTTCACATTTGATTTGACATAGAGTACGTTGCATGCTCGATAGATGTGCACAATGTAGATTTGGTGTGATTTGAACTGAGCAATGCTCTTTAATGTTTTTAGATTTGAAAAAGATCGAGCACAAGCTCAACCATCATCAACAGATCGGACTCAAGTAAGTTCAGCTGAATACTCTATTTTTTTTACTAAATGTGTTATTCATTTCTACCAAAATGTCTGAATATCTTGAAGTGATACCTGAGTTGTGTGTCGTGAATTATTTTGCTGCCTTCAGGTACTTTGAGGAGTTTGAGAAAAGGATTCCACGTGCTGAAATGGAACAGATGGAGGTGACGATGAAGCATCTACGTTTTTTGTTGTCTGCTTATTGTTTTTTTATGGAGTTTTCTTACGCTGTGTGTTCTGTTTAGACTTATATTGTTGGAGAGCTGAAGGAGATCGGAACAGAATATATTGGGACAATCTGTGGAAGCTACAGGAGAGGTAAGACCTTCCCCCTCACGTTGATGCTCGGTTAATGACGGCAGGTCAAACTCTTGTTGTATTGATTCATAATTTCCAGGCGCAGCATCGAGTGGTGATATTGATATTTTGCTGACCCACCCGGACTACACCTCTGAGACTGAGAAACAGGTAAACTCTACTGCAGCTCACGCATCAATGGATGCAAGATTAATGTTGTTATTAATTGCAATTTGACTTTGTATATATTTATTTTTATAATTAATTTTGTTCTTTTCCCCTTTTTCTTTTCCAGCCCAAGCTCCTTCATGCAGTAGTCGACCATTTGGAGTCCATTGGGTTTGTGACCGACACCATGTCCAAAGGAGACACTAAGTACATGGTGAGGCCTCTGCTCATTTATGTTATAGTGGCAATATAGCTCATCACTTTTCAGGTATTACAAATCATTGACGATATGACTTTCAATGTGATGCACAGGGTTTTTCTATTCAGGCACTGGTGTTGGTGTTGTTATACACTTTCTATTTTTGCTCTTGTGTTAGAAAAATTCACTCGAGCCGATGTAAACATCATTCATCACAGGACATTTATTCTTGCAAGAAGGAGACGGAGTTGATTCACAGACAGAATATGCATCAAGGCTGCTCGGAGATCTGTCTCCGAGTCTCTGATATTTATACTGAGTAAGCAACATGCAATGGGCTGGCACAAAGTAACGCACACACATTTTTTTTTTTGTTTTAATTAACTTTTTCTATTTGAGTTTGATTTTTTTGTAAAACTATATTTATCTTACTCTATTGTTCATATATGTTTATATTTGTATTCTTCTTGTTCACAAGAGTCTCCTTTGGGATAAATACAGTCACGTCTTTCCTCCGGTGTGCTCAGCTCTGTGTGTGATCGTACAGTAACCATTCAGTCTATGTACCCAACACATGAAGTGCACGACTGTGATCACTATGTGCTGGATCTTGTTTTCTAGGGTGTCTGCCAGCTGCAGAAGAGTGATGGAGATGAGGAAGAATACCTTCACAGGCGTATTGATATTAGGTGCCCTACTTTCTAATGCTCAGCTCTACGGTCTTCCAAATGAAAACATTGCCTCTACCTACAACAATACAAAACAGGCCCAGTAATGATGCAAAAACAGTCAAGAGGCAACCCTGTGTTTTCATGTCTTTATTCTTCAAACCGCCTGCATGTTCCTGCTCTCTAATGGTCCTTTCTCCTGTTCCCCAAGGTTAATCCCCAAGGACCAGTACTACTGTGGAGTTCTCTATTTCACCGGAAGTGATATCTTCAATAAAACCATGAGAACTCATGCGCTGGAGAAGGGCTTCACTCTTAATGAGTACACCATACGGCCACTCGGGGTCACTGGTGAGTCTCAGTCAAACCTAACGTATGATCCCGCTCCACTCTGTTCCAAAGCTGTGTCTCTGTTGGCTTCAGTCGGTCACCAATGATTTGTGCTTTAAGCTTTTAATATATCAGCTATTTCTCTTTGTGGATCTCTCTGTAGGTGTGGCAGGGGAGCCTCTGTTGGTGGATAGTGAGAGAGACATCTTTGAATACATCCACTACAAATACAGAGAGCCAAAGGACCGCAGCCAGTGATGCAAATGTTTACACTTTCATTTGAAGCTGCAGCTTTGAGATCAGAAGCATGTGTACATATGTGTGTGTTAGTATACCATTCAACTATGTTATTGAAAAGAAAACGACTGTGAAAGTCATTTCAATTTATTTGCTGTGTTCTTCTTTCTTGAGTTGACATCATCCCCTTTAATGACATTTGTACCTAAACACACACTCAACAACATTGATATTTTGTTGTTATAAACAGGTTAATTCTCCAGGTCATGTATCTTCTTCTAATTATCTTTTCCACCACATTTAGCCTTGAACGTAGTTCCCTTTAACACACTGGCTGAGCTGAGGCTTTTTAATGGTTCATTGTGTCAGTCAACACAGCAGTGTTACTACTTTATGTTAGTAGTTAGGTTAATAAAAAAAATCTCATTTCCCATGGACATTCAAGAGTGTGTTTTTAAACCTGTAGTATTTATCTTCCAATTTGGGGCAAACTAATGAATTTAAAATAAGATGCAAACAGCTTAGTTTCTGCATATGGGTGCTAATTTGGGACATAAAGGTCATTGATTTTTATTTCATTTTTAGATAAATGAGTATTTTTTTCCTCAGTTATTGTTTGATATGTGAATATGACTGTTACACTCGTAGACTTCATGTGGTTGTGTGAGGCATTTTGAAAGTGATGGATAAAAATTGACCAGGTCACTGAAATACTGCTACAGTGTACTCTGCTGGTACAGATCTTAATCTGTAACACAGAATTTGTGTATTAGGATTAGGACGTCGATTCAGTTTTGTATGTGGAGGATTGCAAATATTGCTGGAAATATTTAAGAAAATAAAAATAAATTGGTAACCCAATCATACAATGACAATTTTCATTTATTTCAATTTTCACTTTGTTTTTGAACTATCAAATTGTAAATGAGTTTGTTGTAGCATTAATATAGACCCTTCTCACAAAAATGGGATAGAGCATTTTGGCTTCATAAGAAAAAAGTTAAAACCAATATGTTCTTTCTCAATATCACAAGAAACTGTGTTGTAACAAAAATGATCTAAAGAGATGCTTAATGCTGGTGGGGTTGTTTGATGCAAACTATATTGTCAAATAACTAACTGTTTTGTTGTCAAGGGTGGAATTTTAGAGTAACATCTGGTACATCACATTTGGCCTAAAATTAGTTTTCATGCTTGAAAGAATGATATGCTGTACTATGACGTTTATCACATTTCGTTTGGTACAATAAGACTTGTTTTATGGCATACTTTACTATGGCGTACTATATACTGTGACTTGTTTTATGGCATACTATATACTGTGACTT